TGTGTGTGTGTGTGTGTGTTGTGTGTCTGTCTGTCTGTCTGTGTGTGTGTGTGTGTGTGTGTGTGTGTGTGTGTGTGTGTGTGTGTCTGGATAATCAACTCATCAATAAATGAGCAAATCTAGCTCGATAAAACCAAACCTTGCTCTTAACCCTCTTCATGTTCTTTATACAGACTAATGTTAAATATGTTAATGTTACACTTCACCAAAAATGCTTTTATGTTATTAACAATAACGCTTTGATCCTTGACCTTTAGGAACAGGATGTGTAATTTATAGTGTGTACTCAAAGGTCCGCTGAATAACTCACAGAGCTTTCAGCTGCATTGTCTTGACATGACTCAAAATGACACCTGGGCCGGCTCAGTTTGCTAAAGAAGACAGCAAAAATGAGGTCGAAAGCACAGAAAGCTAGCGAATTGATCTTTTTTGCTTAGATTTTGTTGTTACACAACAACAATACTGTGTTTTTCATCACCAGGGATGAACCATCTAAGCCAACTCTGGCACTTGAGTACACTTTCGGCAGACGGGCTCGAGGACACAACACAGTAAGTAAGCCTTGGACTCTTGGACATGTCTGTTTAAAAAAATGGGAATGAAGACACACTAATCCTGATAAGTTGCGACTTCATCAAACTATGTGTTTTCTTTAAAAGAAGGAGCTGTGTGAAAAGTTAACCCTTTTAAAGGGCGACAAAGACTTGAATACATTAGACTCACTGTGAGAGTTGGTGTGTTTATGTGACATGATACGCACTTTACCTAAACCTACTGGTTATCTGTTACTCCAAAAAGATAGAAAACCAGTTACTCTTTGTAGCAAATACTGCAGAAGTGTAGAATGTGAAACTCGTAATGAGATGGTGTTATAAAACTGATATTCAGGGGGTTTCCTCTTTCAGCCCAAAGACATAGCCCATCTATGGGAGCTGGGAGGAGGAACGTCTTTGTCAGACCTGGTCCAGATCCCCATCACTCCTGTCAGCATCAGGTAGGTCACTTACACACATTCCTGAGGTTTTGTCTCTTTCGTACGTCGCTGTTTTCTCAATGTTGTGGTATGTTTTAGAGTAAGGGGCAGTATGTGACATGTTTGTCTTTATAAGGAGTCTGGTTTGAACAGCAGTGTCGTGCCAGTAAAGTAAAGTAAGGGTGTTTTCTTGTGCTGGGCGTCAGTGCGGTAGAGACACCTTCTTCTACGTATCCAGCCAGAGCACATGGTCCTTCCTGTTGTTTCCCAGGTCTCTCTCTGTCATCCTCATCATGGACCTGTCTAAACCCAACGCCCTGTGGGGAACCATGGAGAAGCTGCTGCAGGCAGCACAAGCCCAGTTGGAAAAAGTCTCTTCCAAGGCACGACAAGCACAGAAGGCCAGACCTGGAGCCAAACACCAGACGCCTGTCCACTCAGCAGCACGCGTCTTACCTAAAGACTATCCTGTAAGACCTCAGCTCATTACACTTGCCATTATGTTACCATAATGTTTAGTTCATACAGTAGTAGCATATTTGAAGAATTTTTTAAATGCATGAACTATTTTATTTTATACCTCAGCCTCCTAGAAAATGCTTATATGTTTCAAATTAAAAGGCCAGTGGTAACAAACTAAAGAAACATGGTGAAAAACCTTTTGAAATCAAAGGAAATCCACCTCACAGTGTAGACAAAGGCCGTGGACGTAAGATGTTCAGGTACACGTGTGTGTCCTGAGTTAACTGTGACTCTGTCAACAGGACAGAGAGTTGATCAGTCCCTTCCCTGTTCCTCTGCTCATCATTGGCAGCAAATACGACATCTTTCAGGTAAAAAACAACCTAATCGTTGGTCACATGGCGGCTGAACGACATTTGTTTTATGACTTCTTAAATGATGGTTATTTGTAAGTTAAAAGTTTTTTATGAATAGAAGTTGTTCAGATGTTTGGTGCTATAGTCACAGTCACATTGGTGTTACTGTACATTTTCTTACATAATGTAAATCCTGGTAAAATATGTGACATACTGAGGGAGAGGGTTTTTTTCCATCTGTGTTGCAGGAATTGGACTCTGACAAGAGGAAAGTAGTTTGTAAAACACTGCGTTTTGTTGCCCACTACTATGCAGCCTCTCTTATTGTGAGTTTGTTTTTACTATACATGCAAAATATTTAAATTTAACAAAACTTTTGATACTGCAATCTGCATTTTTTTCTTTGTCTTTTTATTGCATCGATTCATTTCATCCACTGTTGCTGTTCCAGTTTTGCTGTATTACGTTTTCCTCTCTGTGCCTAATCTTTTAATTAGTTCACTAGCATCAAGTCGGAGAGCCTAATGTCAAAAACCAAGAGCTTCTTCTCCCACCTGGCTTTTGGTCTGGACAGAGGGTGAGGAGGAAACACAGCATATTACACCAACTAGTATTGTGCAAGGACTGGCATTCTTAAATTAAACACAAAAAACATGGTACATGTCCCAGTTGTCTAGTTTCACCTTTATACAATTACTAGGACTATAAGAAATTATATAATGTACAGCAGCTCTTCTCGAGCATTGTGGGTCTGTGATATCTCCTGTATTTACAAGAGCTTTTCAAGAGACAGCTTGAAATGGATCTTATACTGTACAGATGAAGATAAAATGCATTTCATGCCTGTTTAAGTATTTCAAATAGTTCTGAATGTTACTGTACTGCTATTGATTTAATGCTTTGGTTTTGTTTGTGTGTTTTATTTTCTTGTGTTTCAATCAGTAAAACAATGTCCTGTGACTCCACCAAGCCTCTCATCATTCCAGCAGGCTCTGACTCCTTCAGCCAAATAGGTGAGCACAGCACTACTCTGTGGCCAAAAGCAGTAATGCATTTAAATGGCATTAAAAATTGTTTTGCGGTGTTGTTATAAGACATAGACTGAGTAAGAGCCACCGTCTGCCTTGACGTCGGTTGGCGCGGACAGGATTGTTTGATACTGTGTTTAAAATAATGCTCCTATTACTTCAGGTTCCCCTCCTACTACTGATGTGGACATCACTTCTCTGCACGCCAAAAACCCCAAAGACCTCTGGAAGAAAGTCTACGAGCGTGTCTTCCCCCAAGAGGTAGTTCAGTCATTGATATTTAAGAAAATGAACAATCATATTCATATATACACATTGACTGCGTGTGTATGTAAAATGCAGCATTCCTTCTTATGAATATGCGTTTACATCAACGAGGACCTCTGTAAACAATATATTTGTAATTTGTAAAGTTTATCTGACTGACTTTGTCTTTGCAGAGTACCAGTGAGCAGAGGGAACTAAAGGATCCAGCCAAAGACCCACAGTACAGTGAGCCTCAGATTGATGCCATGAGAGCCCAGAAAGACCAGGTAACACTTCTTGACCAATCACGCTTCACAGCTGCACAGTTGTGGAAGCTATGGTAAAGCACACCAGTCACCTGTGGATCTTGGTAGATGTAATCGGTGTCATGAGTTGGCAGTATGGTTATCAATCAGTCTGTCAAAAGAAATGAACCCTGCTACATTTACATACCACAGGGCGACATTTCCGCCATAAACCCTGGAGTAAGAAGTAGATTTTCCTTTTTGGTTCATAATTTGTTTAATATTTTGTTTTTGCTGCTCTCTGTTGGCCATTGTGACACCACAGGCCCACTACCCATGTGATCCAGAGTGCACAATACTTTTTAATAACACAAAAAACATTTTATTTTATATACACTGTGAGTACCATACTTTGGTTTAGTGAGGTCACATAAAAAAGATATTAAAGAGAATTCACACTTCACAGAGAGACAAACACTCTGCTCCACCCTTGTGTTAAACAAGGATAATGTTCCAGAGTAACCTTCTGTCCTCCAGTAACCTGTACATAGTAGCGTTTTCTGTCATTGTCTCATTAACAGACTGTAATATATCCTGCGGTTATAACCTCAGAGATTAGTAGTCTCCATGCCGACCTGCGCCGTTGCCACTCAGGCACTTGAACTGCAGTAACCTGTAGGAGTCTCAATGCTGCTATCGCTGATTGAGTCTCACATGATGGTTGTCATCGTGCTCTGCCATTGGATGGCATATAATGTAATTGGTCTGGGTAACCAATAAGAGAAACAGGTTAAAGGTATATTCCAACTAAATAAAGAGAGAGACCTTTGTGATGGCCAATTTGCATGTCAGGGCAGATTGTACGCTGTTATCCGTTATGGAAACTGCAACCTGTAAATCATCAGGAAGAGAAATGTGTCACATGTGTACGAGGGCACCAGGGACCCACACACCACAAAAACTGCACCATAGTGCTGCTAGTGGTCAACATCTCCACAGGTCACCTTTCAAGTGAAAATGTATAAATAGTATTGTACACCCAACCAGCACAAAACATCTCTGGTAGAAAGAAAATGCTGATATAAAGAGATACAATACAGCACTGCACCGTCAGTGGGTGATTAATTAAAGCACTTAAATGCTTCATTTCAAATGTTTAGAATCACTTAATTCATTGTATAACAATTTTCATCTTGCAATAAGACTTAAGATGGCATTGTAGTTGTGTTGAACTGTCTTTTTTATGAGTTGCACTCACAAAATAATTACTTTATTTAATGCAAGATCTACTAAAATGCTAAAATCCGATTCAACATTTCTGTAGAATCAAAGTTCTCCATTACATGGTGCTAGCCTGGAAACCAACTTTTCCCAAGTTTAGATCAACTAGAGCCAACTATAATGGCCCAGGTGACCTGCTTGGCTCATGTCACAGCCTGAATTAATGTTTGATGTTTGGAGCCCTTGAACTGTTCGGATAGTGTTCATCTAAATGTATCACAGGTTGCTGATTTTGTAAACATAACGTTATCTGTGCTCTATATTTACATGTGTATGAATGTGGAGGAACAAAACCTTGTTTACCATTATGACTTTGTATTATGTCTGCATAATATTGCCTGCCCTTCTTCATTGTACTTAACTACATTAACATAGAACAAGTTTCATGTGTTTTTCTCTTCTCTCTTTCTGTGTGTTTTTCAGGAGTTGGATCAGTATAAGAGGAATGCAGTGAAGTCCTGGAAAGGTCTGGAGCTGGAGACATGAGCGACAATCAACTTTATGGTCACACACACATACAATATAGAAAAGTATCTCACAGGTGAGGTGCTGATCACTGGAAGTAGGAAAAAAGTGTTGCACACTCCGGCTCTATATGCATTTCTCTTTTATTCAGATGATGATGTTTCTTCTGGCCTTCTTATAATTATTAATTATTAAAGTTTTGATTCACACACACATACAGCACATAGTTATGTAAATACAGACAAACATTTTGCTTTATTTATTTCCTTTTGTGTCATTTTTTTTTTTTTACTACTTGGTTATTCACACAACTTGTATAATTAGATATTCTTCCTGAAACTATTTCAAACATATTAAAACTATTTGTATGCGGATAATAAAGTTTGTTCTAAAAAAATAAACAATTTATTTTAGTACTCTAGGCATCATTATTCATAACACATTGCAATCACAATATTTAAACAAAAAAGTAATACATGCAATACACAGATGACATTTTAGCACTGAGAACATGTTTTTTCTTCTTGTACTCGATGATACACAGCAGTCCATCATTCAGTTTTTAATCAAACTTCACAAAATGATCGCAAACAAGATTTAGGCTTTAAGGTATAGTTACATGTTACCACTTTGTGTTTCCTTTATATTAAAAATAATAATAATAATTTGGCATCGGTGCAAATATCTTCCACAGTCAGACTTTTTTAGTTGAATCTGTGCGATTTGTCTCAGTCGATGTTTGAGCCTAATCAGTGTTAAAGTAGCAGGTTGGTTTTTTGATGCCTTTTAGTAGTTTTAGTGGTTTAATGTCCAATCCCAGTCAACACAGATCAACCCTACTTTGCTGTACACCTTGCACCCTACACTGGGATTTTTTTTTTGTTGAGAACAGAAGCTCTTTGTACTTGCATCATTGCTCTGAACTATATAATACTTTGTTATAGTAAGTACTTAAAGATAACTTTAAGGTAAGTACTTAGCCAGAAATATCCCTTGAGCACTCCACAGTACTTTAATATACCTCATCCTTTCTGAATTAAATCACCCTCTGTGTTTTAGATTTCAGAACCAAACTCAGTATAGCTCACTGTTTAAACAGAAGATTCGCCCACTAATGTATGTCTGTGGTTTTAGTGACGTACAAGCTTGTCTCTGATCTTGAAGCTGATCATGCCCAACAGCAGGAGGGCAGGGAGGAAGGAGTAGAGGAGAACAAAGTCTAGTGTGTATCGGGACAGAGCGCCAGGATAGCCCTCATCAATGATCTGATTGCCTTGAGTGACTAGACAGGCTCCCGGCAAAGGTTTGGAAACATCTGCAACAACACAACACGCCAGAGAGAGAAAGTTAACAAATTTCACAGCTTCACTGAGTCCTTCAATCCGTCCTTAAACACTCAACTCGTAGTTTATAAGTTGATTTTAGTAAGATCATTAGACGAATGATAATATTTAAAATTGATAAATAAAAATAAATGTTTGCTAATAATCTTTAATTCTTCACATTCATACACATACAGCACTACAGTAGAAGGAACAATCACCAATGATAGAGAATCAGCTGGGAGTTACATTTACTGGGTTTTAAATATGACCCAGAACTAGATTTTTCTTTAGGGCCAAGACATACTCCCAGGATCCTCTACAGATAGTGAAGTCAAGGTTAAGTACTTTTACAACATCAAACGCCTCATAAAAACTCATAAAATCGATACCACGAACAGCCATCCTAATCAAAATGTAACTGGTAGAAAGCAACATGAACTACTCATGGTAGGATATATATATTCTGTAAGCTGTAAATACAACTTGTAAAGAGTTAAATTATTATAATTATGAGTCCCTTTTTGTTCTCAGGGTAGGTGGACAGAGGTTGGCCCTATAGTAAAAACAACTTACTGCATGTGAAGTTGAGTCCTTGGAACTCTGTGACTATGAGCAGCTCACAGCTGTACTTCTGGAAGGTCAGGTAGCTGAGCCACTTGAAGACCTCTGGCATCTGCTGGGTGCTTCTGTTGAGAGGAAGAGGAGAGGAAGGTGTGTTACCAACAGCATTTCACTGGAAAGCAGTGGCCACAGTAATACCTTCATTTACAATGAGGACCTGAAAAAGTTGCCTTATCGAAGGTCCAAATCACAATGGGCTGGACATAATGTTACTTAAACTTACTAGTTCAATTAAAAGCATCATTTGTGTCTCACCTTAGGAAACCGGATCCCACAACGATCCCTGCAATATTGAGCAGAGCCACTCCAGTGTTGACCATATTAGGGTCTTGGACTACTCCTAACAGCACCACAGTCAGCAACTCACCTGAAGGCAAAATACATACTAATGCATGCAACTAAAAGCCATGAACAGTGGAAACATGAGATTTAAGACATATCCACACATCCAACACATCTGTAGGCTTGACACTGTATACTGATGTTTCTAAAACACTGAAGATTTAGAGTCTATCCCTGTCAAAATGTTGACAGCAAAACTAGTAATGAAGACAAAAAATAAATGACAGGCTACAGGGTATAATTTGAGAAATCCTTTTTTTTTTTTTTTAAAGATGATTTTTCCCCCTTCATTAGCTCACCTATAATATGTGGCACCAGCACTACTGCAGTGAAACACAGGAAGCGCAAACTGTCAGGGTTCATCCCCACTGTCCTGAGAGGAAAGGCAGGGACACACGAAATAAGAGTTAGTCCTGAGAGAGACTGAGTTTAAGTTGAGGGTGCATATAGGATCCATTAAATCCTTGAGGAAGAATGTATATGTAGCTTGCATCCCCCCCAATGAAAACATACAGTGTGATGCCCGATGTGGCAAAAACATATACACTTGCTACCCACCAGTAAAGGAAAGAGGTGAAGATGAAAACACTGAGGATGCTGAAGGGCAGGATGTGGAAGATGTAGGCCAAGAACATTTGCCATTTACTGTACAGACCATCCTGACTCTCCTGATCTCCTATGGCTCGCAACGCTGGGACTGGTGAGAGAGCAGATAATGTGAAGCTCTTAAATGACTGCAATAAATATGTTACTAATGACTCATATACAGTATTAGGTTCAATTACGGCTATAAAGACCAGAGGAAAGTACCTCTTAATGAATATTCATTTAGTGGACCAGTACTTTATCAATTATCCCATTCAAGGTTAATATTTAATACCTTTAACATTTCAGCTTTGATAGAGCAATCATAAATCTTGATTTCAGATGCACCATTAAAATCATGCATGTTGCTCTGTCCCACATCACGTAAACCACTCCCATGAAGACGAAAGGCAAACCAAGAGCCGGATTGTGGATGTTCGGATTTTTCTTGATATCTTGGCAGTAAAACTCAGAACTGGCCTTTTGGCATCAGTCCACGTTCCAGGTTTGCATGTGTCCAGGAAAGTTATCCAAACTACCCAGTAAACCCTTGTGTAACAAACCGCTGGTCTGTTGTATCCTATCAGTCTTTATCTGTCTTCAAGGTCAGTCCCCGCTCACTACCCCTGGCTGTTTGGGTGCTTATGGAGTGCTTTTAATTACCCTTTAAGTCTACTGTAATTTAACTTTTGCTTAGCCAATTATTTTATCACATCTCTTATCCTCGGTATCGATGACAGCTGAAGCCCTAAAACTAAGATTTTAGACTCAGCTGATTATCGAGGAAGACATTGAAGAGATAATCACCCCGTACAACCAATATCCTTCACAAGTTATTGTCTATATCATCTTTTAACATACACCTTAGGTATGAAATGAATGTTAAGATGGATTCAACTGAAGGCTTGTTACATATTGCATAAACGTTTCATTTGATGTAACTACGAAATTCTTACAGAGATGTCTTAACTTAAACTTAAAAAGAGTGTCTTAGCTGTAAAAAAACAACACAAAATACATATCACAAGATCGGATATAAACCTCATGGAACTCTTAATAATAATTGCATAAAAACAACCTAAAAGCAGTATAAAATTATCCGTAAGTAAGTTTTAAGGAATGCTGAGATTCAGTTTTGTTTAGCTGATTTCTCTGTGCAGTATATGTGTGACAGTTGTCTGTATTTGAGGTTACCTTAAGTCACGGCAGCTGCTATAAATACTAAGCATGAACTTGTTTAACACAGAGAGGCACATTTACACTCTGATAATATAGATTGTATAGGTCGTCTAGGTCTGTAGGTAAAAAGGTACTTGGGTTCATTGAGTTCTAAAGAGAGTAAAGATCATTCCCCACTTGTAGCTAGTCTAAAACTGTAAATGCAAACTACAGTGCCTCTCTAACAAGTGTGTGAACCCACAGCAAATGGTTGAATAAAAGGTTGCACATATGTAATCTATATGCAAATACTCCTGAAATTAAAGTGATTCTAATAGAAATGTTTTGTTTATACGGACAATTTGTGATAATGACCGACTGCAGTTCTACTCTTTAGTATAGTTAAACTTACTTATCACTTAATCTTTTACTCTGACCTAAGAGAGACACTGAAAGTACATGAAGTCTCCTCAGGTACTTTCACCAAGCAAAATCCAAGCTAGGCTTAACATATTTTTGCTGAAGGGAACGAAAATACTGCCGACAGCGGTCCCCTTTCACATACTGAATAAGAGATAAGTGAGCTTACACAGCTGAGATAAAAACATTTGAAACATGCTGTTTAATAAAGATAATAGATCACATTTACTCAGGTGATAAACCGCATGCACTTCAAAATTTCCCTCAAGCCATCATATCTACCTCCTGTAGATATATATAGGATCATGTTATCAGACACATGCAGTTAGATGGAATATAATGTTACCCAGATCATGTAACGGATGGAACAAACTTGTTTATGTTATTACGTCCAAGCATGTCAGCAAATTAATCGCAAAACTGAGAACCGAGACTCACTGGTGTCCTAGAGCTGCTAAACTGTTTTAGTTTAGTTTTTGAATAAGAACTCCTCTTTCTAACAATAACCAGATTCTTGTCTCAGACACAGTTTCTGTCCAGTTGAAAGCCTCTTTTAATGTTTGCAGGATACGGTACAGTATATGAGTACTTGCTTGAAATTTAGCAGTGCACTACAATACAATGTATCAAAAATGCATTTTCCCCTTCTATGTACAGATGTATGCTGTTGGTTGAACTCACAGAGAGCTACAGCATTCAGCATGCCGGTGTAGGGTGAAGCACCAATGCTCTGATAGATGATGCCGATGCGGTCCTGCACGGCACCCTTGCTGACGTCGTTGTCTAAACGCATCACGAAGAAGGCCACAAAGAGACCGTAGATCAGGTTCTGGGACAGACGCATCAGGACACCCATCCTGTCTCTGGACAGGTTTCTTGCTGTCCGCCTACACACCAAACACATATAGAAATACATGGAAACACATTTAAACACACACAAATACATACATAATACAAATACATAACAGGGCATACATGTCCCATACACACAGGGGGACTTTGTCAGCACTGACCTGAGGAGAACCTCAAGTTTGGCTGCGCCGTTGGGTGACTCTTTGCTCTTAAAGGGGATGGCTGGCTTGTCTGCCCGCTGAAGGCTCTGCTCCATTTTTCCCAGCATGTTCTGGTAGATAGCAGACCTCTGATAGGATGAAGTGATCTCATGCATGCGATTGAAGGTGGCTGCCTCCCTCTCACTGCTGCGTGTGTCCACTGAGGTGAAGTCAACTGTTTGTTTGAAATCACAGCAGTTTGAATACTTTAAGGTTCATGCGAGTTAATTCTGTATATTCTGTATACTCTCAAGATGTACATAGTCTTTATTTGTTTGTGTTTCAACATAGCTGCATGGTTATAATGTAAATATGCAGTACATAATGCAGGATCGTAGCATACAGTACCATATATGTCAAAGGGGTTGCAGTACTCGGGACACTCGTAGCCACATTGGCTGAAGAAGTCCACCATCTCTTCTGGCTGCCCACAGAACACCAGCTCTCCACGACTCATTATAGCTATTCTGCTGAACACCTGGGACACACAGCACTTTCATCAGCAAATGCCTATCAACTAAATTATTTAATTGTTTCTCCTGACTATAATGATCAAGAAGAGAAGTCTACCTCATGTAATTCTAATGTAAGACAAAATCCACAGTCCTCAATCGGAATAAGAATTACTAACGTGGAGCTAGAGTTAGACAAAGAGAGTGGGACTCTTCCAGTGTTTTAATAAAACATCAGTGTTTCTGTATCGCTGCTGCAGCTCAGTAAAGTATGATGTCAGTGTGAGGACAGTGGATTTTGTCCCCCATCGCTTTCATTAAAATGGCATTAGAAAGAGATCTCCTCATAGCTGTACGTATGAGTGTGTGGACACTTGAAAACATGTGAATCTATCCTTTAAAAGAAGTTTCAGTCTCTCTTTCTCCCTTCCTCAGTTTATCTCAAAACCCACCCTGAAGAGCTCGGAGCGCGGTTGGTGGATGGTTACTATGACGATACGGTTCCTCCTGGCCAGCTCTGCCAGCAGCACCACTATCTGATTGGCGGTCATGCTGTCCAGGCCAGTGGTCGGCTCGTCCAATAGGATCACTCCTGCAATGACATCATCAGGCTTGTCACACATCGAAACACCGAGAAGAAGAGGCAGGACAGTAACTTTTTCCTTCTTTTAAGTTGGAAACTTTTAAATGTACTTTTATTAAGTGGCACATGCAGGACTCTCAGCGGGGCCAACTTAACTTGTGAAGATAAGTGAGTTCTTTTTTTTTTTTTTTTAGTTAATTACTCTAATTAGGACAATTAAAAGATTGCCTCTTTGCTTTATGAAAGCGGAGTGGAATTAGCAGATGCTTTAATTGTGAGATTAATTCATTTCCTGGTTGATTGGAGAGGCAGCGAATGGGAACTCCTCATTACTCTGTGTGTGACTGCGTGTGTGTGTGTGTGTGTGTGTGTCCATGACCATTCTAATCCTGAATGAGGACTGAGACCCTTCTACCTCCCTGGAGGACCGTAGACCTGATAAACTACACCTGGGATGAGCACAGGCACACACACACACAGAGGTGGATCTCTGCTCATTCTCTTCGTGGTGTGATAACCCAGTCTTTCATTACTCTTCTCCATCTCTCCCTCTGCCCCCTTCTCTGTCCTTTCCTCATTCCTCTCTTACTTAGATCGCTTTGTTATTCAGTGTGGACTTCTGAAACTCTTTGGGGTGAGACAGGTCTTGTGGTGAACTTTCTTCTGCTCTCAGGATGGCACAGTCCTGCCTCCAGTCCTGTTGCTTCTAACAGTATATGTACGAAATATCATGTGTCATATGCAGTCATTTACTAATCAGAGTGTGCAAAACGTTAGGGAAATCTTTCTGATATTGTGTCACAGCCCATTTTGTATAATCCTTGTCACATTAATCTGAAAGCTTAAGAAGAATGACCTCTAAAGCTTTTGTTTATCTGCTCCATAACTCCTCATTTGAGATCTGTAAAACCTCAAGAATTTGAGGGACGATGTCTTTTACCTTGATTCACCTACTCATGATTTAAATTTGCAGCAGCACCCTTTTGGAGGTCAAATGTTCGTGATACATAGATCTCCTGTAACTCTGGAGAGGTACTCACGTGGGTCCTGAAGTAGCTGGCTGGCGATAGAAACCCTCCTCCTCTCGCCCCCAGAGATCCCTGGGAAAACACGACCTCCAATAACACTGTGGGCCACATGAGTCAAACTCAACTCAGCCATCACCGCCGACACCTGCACAGGAGCCAGAGGTCAAAGGTCAGGTGACAACAGAATTACAACTAGCTGCTGACAAGGGCCTACTGTACACAATGTACTTGCTAGTTCTTGTTAGTAAACCTTAGTAGTATTTTCTGCTTATTGCTGATCTCTGAAATAAAACTTGATCATACAGTTACTAGTATATATGTGCATTGAACCACAGGGGTTCAAGGAATATCCAACTCATTTGACCTTTGAAGCAATGCTTAAATCTCTACATATTCCCAGTTTTCCTGACTTTGGACATAACTTTCTTCGAATTAACTGCAGATTAGCAATAGATTCAGCAGAATATCACAATGTGAATCATCCCCACTGGTTCTCTGTTTGTCTTCTTTTTGTATTTTCTCTAGCAGGGGGAAATGCCAAGTTTAAGCTAAGTGGACAGAGCAGAGGGAGCGGTCAAAAGTCACCTTCTTCTTGATAGCTTCAGCCGAGTGTTTCCGCAGGGCCAGCTGTGCTGTGTAGGTCAGAGTTTCCTCCACTGTCAGATAGCTCAACAAGTTATCACTCTGGAAAAGAAAGAGATCAAGGAAAGGGAGAGTGGGAAAATAAACAAGTAAGAGATGCAGTGAGACAGACACCTTTCCTGCTTATTGAGTCTATATTGTAAAATTAATTTTGTAGATATTGTAGTACAAGTTTTTTTTTTTTACCTACAAGAGAGATCAGTAACAAGACTATGGATTTATACTAACTAAAGGGCAGAATACACTGCTACTGGTGATCTGATGATTACCTCCACTGTTTATGATCACCTCTGTCTTCGTCACTAATCAAACTAAAGTATATCTTGAAACTTAATAGTGTGACTGGCATGACACTTGCTGTAAACATCCATGGTACACACTCATGCAGCATAAACATGGACATTTCAGAGTACTTTGCAGCACATCCCTGCACACTTAATGTACATCCATATAGGACACATACAGCAGCATACTGTATAATTGCATGTTCATATATGCATGTTCAAACCAGCTGTAATATAGCTTTGCCCCAGACACATGCACACACACACACATCCATTGCTTGAACCTGCTGAACCTGCTGCCTGCCTCAATTAGTACGTGGCGCCTCCCAATCCCACTTCCCCTTAGTCTCTCATCTGAATGACTTTAATATCAGGAGCTCATATCACCTCCTCATCTACAGCTTAGCAGGGGAAGTTAATGACAAGGCTTAGAGAGCAGAGGGGGTTGCTATCAGCTAGAAGAGAGAGATGATTTGAAAGGAAGCAAGGCCAGTTTTAAGCCAGTGTTTTTAATTTAGGCTTTGGATACACTTGAGCACCTCTCATTGAGAGATTAAGTGTATGAGGAGGCTACCAAGGGTCTTTAGTTAATTTCATCCAGAGGCCAGGGCAACCTTTTCTGGAGTTTTTGCACTAATGGTGCGTGTTCATTGAGTTTGTGGTTTGGGGTTTATGGTGGTTAACCACAGACAACTTAAATAAAGTGTCCTACAAATAAAACTGAATTGAAAATTGAAAAAAAAAAACACATAAAAACTGTCTGTATGCAGCCACTCACATGTGATACTGTAGGGCAAAGTTTCACCTGATGTCAATGTGTGATGAGAACTAGGGCAAAGTTAAATGTGCTCAGTCTTATTAATGTATGTGTTGTTTAACACCGCATCTGTTTGTTATAGTCACATACTTTATTGTGTTTTTTTTGTGTCAAGTTTTCTAATTCATTTTTGTCTTATTGTTGTTACTTGGCCTAATCAGTTAATTATCAGTTAATTATAACCTCAAGAATAATTTATTTAATTATTGAGGTTACAATTAACTGATTGTCTGTGTTTATACTGCTTGGGTGTGTTACCTGCAGCACATAAGAGAAGCAGTCCTGATACTCTTCTCTCTTCATTTTCCTGCCGTTAATGAAGACCTCACCCAACAGCGTACCACAGTTTCCAATCCTCCCTGAGATGGCGTCCAACAATGTGGTCTTCCCTGAGCCTTTACAATGCAAAGTGCACACACACACACACACACACACACACACACACACACACGGATATGTTTGTACATACAGTATAAAAAGAGAGGTATATACAGTCACATATATGAGAACATTTTAGATTGTCTGACAGAATGATTCTTTATACACAGTAATCCCTGCAGAAGGAGTTTCTTTTATGGATCTGTCTGTTTTATTTTTAAATGAAGACTGTTGCCTCATTATTATTCTAGTTCCCTCCAGTATTTATACAGGTACCTGAACAAAAAGTAACAAAATCCCTCAGAACAATATGAGATCCATTAAAATTTAAAAAATTGATCTATTTTAACTACTTCATTTTTTGTTGTGTTTCAACTCTTTGCTCTTTGGACTGAGCTAAGTCCGAACCTGAATTTCCCAGTATGCCCATGATCTGCCCACTGTCTATGTGGAAAGAGACATCATTGAGGATTTGACGTGTCCATCGCTTCCTGTAGGATGGTACGTCCCACCACGGACCCACACGCTCACTGGAACACACACACACACACACACATTTATAAAAAAATTATAATTTCAATATAATCAATCTCCACTATGAATAAGATCATCATTTGATCATTTGAAAGTTATTAGGTATGTAGTATGTAGGAATTTATCAACAATCAGCAATTAAATTTACACCTTACATACATTTTTCTGCTATTTCATTAGAGTTTGAACATAAAATTACAGAAAATTCAGTCCAAACTTGCCCTTGTGTATGCATAATAATATAATCAGTATGGTGTAACCTAGTTGATTCTCAGAGCCTGTTTTTGCATCTGTCTTTCAGTCACCCTCCTGTGTCTGCAGCATTTACCTGACTGTGTAGGAGATCTTGCTGACACTGAGACAGCAGGAGGGATCTGATCGCTCCTCTCCACCGTCCCTCCACACATCCCTCTTGTTTTCCCTGTTCAGCTCCGGCAAAAAATTGAAGGACTCTTTAACTTTGGTCCCGTTCTCTGGCTCCTCCGCCTGCATTGAATAACATTTGTTCATGTCTCTGGCCAGTCTGCTACTCCGAAGTTCTTCTCAGATCAATTTGTTCATATCCACACGACTCATATACGGCAGGTGAAGCTCTGAAGTTAAGTCGTCCTACAGGCCCACACTTTATTTCTCTGCACCCATTCCCTGTATGAAGCAGCAGTGCGAGAGCAGTGGTGTCTCTCAGGAACCATAAACACACAGTGAAGGTTGCGTTATCTCAGAGAACTTTGATCTGGAGTTGTATAAAGAAGAGAAAAAAACATACATGCTGAGTAGATTGACTGGCTGTCAGTCTCGCCTCAATCCTCAAATTGTGCACTGTGATCAGGAAAGCTACGGCTGATAGGACAGAGCAGATGAAGGGCACTGCAGACTGACATGACATGAACTTGGACACTTTGAGAGAGAGAAGGCTAGTGAGCTGAGACAAGAGGAGATCTTCAGCTGGACCGGAATCAAACAATCTAACAGAAAGAAGAGACAGAGAAAGGGGGGACAGCAGGAAAAAGGGAAAAAAAGGGAGATAACCATCGAGAGGAAAAGAGAGGAACTGAACCGAAGAGGAAAAAGGGGGGCATTGACCCCTTGATCCTACAAACGTCAACCAGCAATTTGCATCATCATGGACACAGACACTGGGCTCAGTCACAATGGTTCCTCACAGGTCAGTGTCCACATTTTAGCTCTCTTAAAGGCATTGGTTTAAAGTTCCCCTGCTAATATACCAATGTAGTCACTTTGGTTTTATCAAAACAATGTCTAAACTTTTAGTTGATTCCTTTCATCCCCACCAGCCACTGAGCTACTCTCTTTGACTGCCACATGACCACATTTATTAACTGAACTGTGACTAATAATTTATTATTTCCCTACACATAAGTCTAGTTTCTTAGATATTTGACGTCAAAAATAAATCCAACAATTGCTTTAATATTTTTAGTCAACCTGTCAAATGCAAAGTAATTATTAGATTTTATCCATAAAATATAGAATATTTTGATATGACTAATGTATAAATTGTCTGTACTCTAAAGGTTTTCAGTTTTTTAGTTTGCAGATTGAATTTGCAGATTGAATGTGCAGTGTTTTCCAGTTTTTCCCACAATGCAAATACTGGAGAAAGAGTGTTCATCATCCATTTGACTCTCTAATAATTTGGTGACCTTTTGTAATTTTTTTGTGATTAGTGGGTCCTGAAACTGAAAAAAGGAAAACCTTGCTCTACTAGACTAGGACGGCTTATCTTAAAAGATCAGAACTATAATTATTACAGTTTAATCTAAGGTCTGGAATAATAGCATTTGAGACATACAAATTCCACAGCTTGTACTCTCCTATCTCCGTCACCACATCTGACAACTGCATGAACAATGGCAATATTTTGAATGTCTGAACTACACACATTTTCAGGGATTTGAATAAATAAAAAAGCTCCCAGGAGGGTCTGAAAACTAAATGTTCATGTCACTAGAAGCCATCAGCCATTTTACAAAATAAGATTTATAGTATTTACAATGTAACATATAGCATAGTGTACAGTATGTTCAGTAGATATGGTGTGAGCATGTGCTGCGTTTTGAATTGTATGTTTGTGCTTTTATTCTATTGGAGAGATTTAAAGATTGCATAATGGTAATATCAGGGTCATTTTCAAATGGACTCTTGACCCACAAAATGTCTCTAGGCAACTATTTGCACTTACAAACACAATTTGTCCAATAAACTAGTTGATAATGTTCAAATGTCAGATGTGCAGATACTATAGTACATTTTGGGACAATGTTCACAGTGAGCATGCAGGCAACAAATAATGGTTATTATAACATTTGACAAATTCATCACATGCAAGTGGATTCAAGATTCCAGTTTTAGATTTTAACCTTTTTTAAAGGGCTGGTGTTCACTTTCTCAGGATTTATTGCAGTTTGATCTTTAAACCTATAAAACTCATTGACCTTTGTTCTCCCCTCTAACAGCATCAAGACAAAGAGTTGTTCTCGACTGAAGACGACAGCAGTCTCTACTTCACCTACAGTGGAGGTTGCAATGAGCTGGAGGTCAACAACCTGCACTATGAGGTAACATACAGCCATCTTTAGCTTTTAACTGCTCTTTGTGTGTGTGCATGCCTGTATTGTATATGTGCTTGTTGTATGTGCTCACGTGTGTGTTCACAGGTGGATACGGCAGCTCAGATCCCCTGGTATGAGAGGTTGTCAGAGTTTAAGTTGCCGTGGGAGATAAAAGGAAACAAACAGACGGCCATCAACAAGCTCAGCCTGCGAGTCCGCAGCGGACAGATGCTGGCCGTCATTGGCAGCTCAGGTGACACACACAAACACACACACATCTCATTCGCTTTGGCCAATTTTTTGTGTAAGTGCAATCACAATTCTATTACATGTGTGCAAAAAGTAGTAACTCACCAAGAAAGTTTCATTCATGCTTCAAAACCTTGTTATTGTGTCAGTGCCATGGTACAGTGCTGTACCATGACAGTCAGCCCCGGAAATGTTTCTTACATACAAATCTCATTTTATTTTATGTTTGTTTTGTATCGCAGAAAAGTCAACACTGTACAATACTGTAATACACAGTATAATCATATGCACATTTGTATGTATACAGTTAATGTATATACAATATATATATATACAATATTACAGTAAACAGAAAATTCACTGTTGATCTTATGCATATATCTTGATCTTGATCCATATAGAATTTACCACAAAATGACATCTATGCCAAAAACAAACAAACCCCACAACAATAGAAAAAACTTTTAGTTTAGTTTTAGTAATTAGTTTGCTAATTTAGCAGACATCACAAGCATCCCATGTCATAGATATTTATGGAATATACATGTATGTCTGACAGATTTTTATAATTGGATGAAAAAAAATCTTGTTTTGAGATATATTTTGCGTTCAATCAAACAATTGCTTTAATTTCTAGGCAGATTTTGATAATTGAATGATCATTTTGCATGTGATGGCTCAAACCATGAAACAATGTCAAGGAGTTCTTGTGAAAAGTTGAACTAACTACTCAAACTAATCGCACAGAGATCTAGATCCAGAGGGGAAAAAAATTGAGCCAGAGTGAATGAGAAAAACAGTACGTTTTACAGTTTCTAATCAAGGTCATCAATGTAATGGCTTCTTTGGATGATTTGTTCCACATGACTTTCCAGTGTCAAGCTTGGTCAAGGATCTCATGTCAGCAGCTTTGTTAAAATGGATGAACAGAGATATTTTTTTCTCTGTTCTGTAATAGTCTTCAGACTTCAGAACTGAAAAGAAAGGAAGAGGAGAAACTAGCAAATGTAGCAAAAAATCACATTCAGTGGTTGGAAAATAACAGAACCAAGGTTATAGAAAAGAGCCTCATGTAGTATATGTAATACATGCCTCCTGAAACTGATCACTGCTTTGCTTACGTACATATTTTGACTTATATATGAGTTTTGTTGGTAGTGGCTTAAATACATAACCATGTTCTCCCAGGTTGTGGTAAAACATCTCTACTGGACATAATAACGTGTCGTGATGAGGGTGGTACAATGACGTCCGGTCAGGTTCTGATTAACGGGAAGCCCAACACGCCCCAGCTGGTGAAGAAGAACATCGCTCATGTCCGCCAAGATGATCGCCTTCTTCCTCACCTCACCGTCCGTGAAACTCTCGTCTTTGTTGCCAAACTTAGGCTCCCAACCCACTTCACACAGGCTCAGAGGGAGCAGAGGGTAAGATTAAGCTTAATAGACAAACTGGACTCAAACCATATCAAAACAGAATGTACACAGTGTGAGGACATTATAAGCTTATGCTCACTCAGAACATATTCTGCATACAATCTTTATGTGGACCAGATGTGACGTGTGTGCGTTTTTAAAGACAGATGTTATAAGTTACTGCTTGTTTACTGTCACAGGTGGACGATGTCATCGCAGAGCTGCGGCTGCGACAGTGTGCTCACACCAGGGTTGGAAACGACTATGTGAGAGGTGTTTCTGGAGGAGAGAGGAGGAGAGTCAGTATAGCTGTCCAACTTCTCTGGAACCCCGGTGAGAGACATAAGAAACAAACTTAAACTCTTAATTTTTCCTCTCTACTTTCATTCTGAAGTTTCAACCTTCCATCTGTCTGGCTTTGTAACTCAATCCGAACATCACAAATTCAAAATTTAGCATACATATTGTCCTCAAGGGGGAGCTGCTCAGTTATGGGACTTAGCCTCTGGTCTGGTGCATTATTTCTAATGGCCAGCAGGGGGCGACTCCACCGGTTGCAAATATCAGTCAGATTATGAGAAAATGACTCTACTTCTCACTTAAATGTATTAGCTCAGTAAAGAGTTTCCTAATAAGTTTATATGTGATGTGATGTTCATTTTGTAAATTTTGGTCCCATGTGGAATAAAATCAGATGATAAAGCGGGGTACGCATTAGGACGGGGGTACCTTGTGATTGTCAAGTCGCTACCACTGCATATCCTCGGGTTCCTAGTTGGTTGGTGTTGCAATGCATATCCTCCCTAGCTTTTCCAAATATGGTCAGAAAATAATCAAGATGGTGACAGCCATAATTTTAAATTACACTTACACTTATACTATCTATAGTTATTGTCAGTACTAGAATATACTGGACGGTACATAACAGTTGTATACATGACCTGCGCCACCTATAGGAAAGAAAAAGTAATAGCCAGTTTAAGACCTACAGGTGTAGACATTTGATGTTACCACTGAAATGCCTGCTGCTCTCTCAGGTGTGTGTGTGTGTGTTGGGTGTGTGTGTGTGTGTGTGTGTGTGTTTGAGGTTTTACATTTCACATTCAACTCTTACTAGATAAAATAAAACAACAGAATTACAATGCAGCCTGTGACTGATTTATCAGGTTTTGCCCCTTCTAGACATCTATGAACTGCAAGCAAGTGGTGTTAAGTATTATTTGTCCGTCACTTGATCTAACAATTCTATCAATACACAGCAGAAATGTCATTGGTTTCCAAAGACAGCCTCTACATTTCGACATAAAACAAAATAAATGTCAAGTATTATCCACCCTTCTGTCGGGCTTTTTATAGAACAGTTGTTTATTCATTAAACCTGTCTTGATCCATTCTGCATCACCACAACCCCCTAAGTACCAGTAGGTCACCAAAAATAAGACCGAAGTGAAAATTCAGACAAGCAGGCAAACAAAGAGAAGTGTCTTTTCATGGATTATTGAACTGGTGTTTTTACATTTCAGGTATTTTGATCCTCGACGAGCCCACGTCAGGTCTGGACAGCTTCACAGCCCACAACCTGGTGATCACACTGTCCCGTCTGGCCCGTGGAAACCGTCTGGTCCTCCTGTCCGTCCACCAGCCTCGGTCAGATATCTTCCAGCTCTTTGACCTCGTCGTCCTGCTGTCGTCAGGTTCAGCCGTTTACTGCGGCGCTGCTCGTGACATGGTGCCTTACTTCACTGCGCTGGGACACCCCTGCCCACGATACTGCAACCCCTCTGACTTCTATGGTTAGTGTGTGTGTAGAAAGGTGTCAAAGCAGCATTAAGCGGTGCTTCTTTCCAGCACCACAGTGTGTGAAAGTTGTTATTTAAAGGCTATTTTTTCAAGAGTTATAGTATCTGTTTTAAGCCTCATTCTGTTGGTGTGTGTGTCCAGTCGATCTGATCAGTGTAGATCGGCGCAGTCTGGAGCGAGAAGCTGAGTGTTTGGAGCGAGCCACAGTTCTGGCTGAGCAGTTCATGGAAAAGGTTCGAGACACAGATGATCACATGTGGAAACCAGCTGCGACCGACACGGCACAAACTGAAAGGTGTGTGTGTTTTTCTTCTCTTGTTCCATATCTAAATATTCAAATATTGTCCTACATTTTTTAAAATCTATTTCTCTCCCTAATTTAACAGTGACATAATAAAAGCAGGGTTGAAGGCTCACTTATCTAACAGACCTTAATGGTACAGTGTGTAATATTAAGGAGGGTTTATTGGCAAAAAATATATATTTTTTTTTTTTGTTGCCTTGGAATGAGCAGTTTTTATCTACAGAGGGAGCAGGTTCCTCTTCTACAGAGGCTGCCATATTAAACAGAGATGTTTCTACAGTAGCCCAGAACAGACAAACAAGACACTGGCTCTGGCTTTTTTGTGAGTTTTGTGGCCACCATAGTTTCTCCTAAACACAATCTGCAACGTCACTGCTAGATGCCACTAAATCCTACACACTGGTCCTTTAAATCTATGAATTGCTCATCTGTGTTTAAGTGTCCTGTTTCTGAGGCGAAATTATTTGTGGTTAAGTTTTAGCTGTGGACAAAAAACTGAATTTAAGATTATACATTTTTAGATATTCATCCTTTTATGTTAGTAATTTATGGGAAACCCAGAAAAACTGATCCACTGTTTTCTTGCAGCCCTCAGCAGCTGAGCACGGTAAAAGAAGAGGAAGTAATCACTATTTCCAAACAAAGAGACAGACTGCCTGGGAGACTACACCAGTTTACAATCCTCATCAGGTAAGAACTCACAACTATTGTTGTCCGTTGTACCCCCACAACCCTGCCAGTATTCCTTCATCGACACTACCTGAAATGAAAATGAATATGGTATAGATGGTATTTAACACTGTCAATTGTATAAAAGTGGATATTGTTCATATCTTTAGACACAGTAATCCTTTTTTAGAGTTTTCTCGTTTCTATGTTTTTTTATTTTATTTTAATTTTAGTCATCGTAGACAGTAGTTTCTTGGTTATTGTGATAATAAATATACTAAAGATCAGCCTCACACCATCATTTTCATATTTTTAGCATTAGCTGAACTACTATACAGTCTTTCCAAGTACCCCATGAGGTACATGTTGCCCTGGTTGGGAGTCACTGTATTAAAGCACTGCAGAGGGACACATATGATCTCTGACCTCTCCTCCTTTCTTCCCCCTCAGGCGTCACATGTATAATGATTTCAGAGACCTGGTCACCTTATTGGTCCACGGCTTTGAGGCCCTCCTCATGTCACTGCTGGTCGGTTGTCTCTACTATGGGGCGGGAGAAGAGCGTCTGTCCATTCAGGACACAGTGGCCCTCCTCTACATGATCGGAGCTCTCACCCCATTCGCTGTGGTGCTGGACGTCATAGCTAAATGTGAGTGATGACTGCTGTTTAGGAGGATGAGAGGTAATAAAGTGGCTTAAACTGCAGTCAAAGCCAGTCTTCAGTTTTAGCATCTACGCATATAAAACTGAGACATGTTAACATTCTGTTTGTCTGGGTTGAAAATGATGTAGTCCTCAAAAGACAATACTGCAACAGACAACTCTTCTTTCAACAGAGTATCAAATAATAACTTCTAACCTGCAGCTATTACAAAAATAAACAAAATCTGTCTGTTTACTGCTAATTTACATCAAGTTTCTTCCCCCATCTCACCCACTATTAAAGATTTTCACATCTTTTATTCACACACGCCTACATCACAGCTGCTTTCAAACCCTGTGCTTCTTTTTTTCTGTAACCACCACGTAAACAACCTGGTGCGTCTCTAAACATGTGACTTCACACTGATTGTAGAGTCAAAAGTTTTGTACCTCTGCAACAAGCAAAACAAAGAAATCTCTGGAAATAAACAATAAATAAAACATCAGTGCATCAATGCATTTGCAGTTGTACAACATATTTAACAGAAGTGCATCAAGATGTAAGATGACTCAGAACAATTACAGAGATAGCAAGACTATTAAGAGTCAAGTTCAGGTAACAACAATATAAAAGAACAATTAATTCAGTTCCATATGTTCACTTACGAGACTCAGAGTACTTTAACACAGCCTGCATATCACACAGAGGCCCAAGGAATAAAGACGCTCTCTGAAGAAACCTTTGGAACTTGGATTCACACAATATAAATATTACATTTATGTAGCTGGAGAGCCTCCATAACTTGTGACATTTGTTACTGTGTTGGGTAACAACACACAACAACCTGAAGGCTGTAATGCGGTACCTCATCAGACTAACTTAATGTTCCCTGCAGGTCACACAGAGAGAGCCATGCTCTACCACGAGCTGGAGGACGGCATGTTCTCCGTCACCTCCTACTTCTTTGCCAAGGTAAGCCTCCTGCGTCTCCAGTAGGGGTCAGTCTTGCTTCATGCTGGAGTTACAAATCAGTGTCATGTACTGTAATGTGCTGTGTATAAAACATCAACACTGAATATGTGTGTGTGTGTGTGTGTGTGTTTTTCTGCGCTTGTGTTTGTTCTGTATATTTGAATGTGTGCTTTCTCCACATTCAGGTCCTGGGGGAGTTACCAGAGCACTGTGTGTTCACGTTGGTGTACGGCCTGCCCATCTATTGGCTGGCCGGGCTTAATGAGGCTCCGGAGCGTTTCCTGCTAAACTTCCTGCTGGTGTGGCTGATGGTTTACTGCAGCCGAGCCATGGCTCTGTTTGTCGCTGCTGCGCTGCCCACCCTGCAGACCTCGGCCTTCATGGGCAACTCCTTGTTCACCGTCTTCTATTTGACTGGAGGTTTCGTCATCAGCCTGGAGAATATGTGGCTTGGTGAGGAGATGGATTCATTGTCTGTAGTTAGAGACGTGTTTGGGCCCTGAAGAATATGTGCGAGTCTATCCTAGGGTTTGATGTTTATACCTGTGCATGTCTTTGACTCCCCAGTGGCCTCATGGTTCTCTCACATCTCCTTCATGCGTTGGGGTTTTGAGGGCATGCTGCAGGTGCAGTTCAGAGGCAACAAGTACCCCATCACCATCTCAAACCTCACCGTCAATGTTGACGGCATACACGTGAGTTAGAAAGAAACACACAAATACAAACACGTGCATGGGTGTTGATCAAACAGTTCCACATTGGTCATTTTCTGAATGGTATCATTCACACTGTAAGGCTGTCGAGGCATCAATCGATCAATCAGAGTTCTGGTTGTACAGTTTTAAGAATTAGCATAAATATGGAAAATGATGATATTGAGTGATTGTCTTTCAGGTGGTGGAGGCCATGAAGATGAACCAGTACCCTCTGTACTCATGCTATCTGGTCCTGCTGGCAGTCTGTCTGGTCTTCATGGCGCTCTATTATTTGTCTCTTAAATTCATCAAACAGAAGTCAAGTCAAGACTGGTGAACACATCTGGACCAACAATCAGACCAAACACTGTCCGAAATAACACACATCAGGAGCAAGGTTTTACTTTAGTGTTTTTGGTTTGTGTTTTTTGGGAGCAGTGGAAAGAAGTAACTTGGCTTCTAGTTCGACTGGTTCCACACTGAGCCAATGTTTTCCATCGTCGTGCTTTACAGTGAAAAGATGCTTAGATTAAGTTTACAATTTTTTAATAATTTCAACATCAGAAACTCCTGCACTCTTTTTAAAGGCAGAAATGCTTGAAATGATCTCGCTGGCACCTCAGTAGGGAATAAAAAGTCACATAGTCAAAACAATTTTAACATATACCCAGCCTTAACAGTTTAAATAATTAGAATTCGGGTAAGAAAAAAGTTGTACTTACTTTGTGTAGCAGTACTACTGTCTGCTGCTGGATGGCAGCAGAGCACTGCAGTATCATCAAAGTTAAAATTATGGCATTTTCTTTCCTCTCCCTCGCTTCACCGTCTTGGCAAATGATTAGAGCGCCACTTTGGCAGATATCCATCTGCAGCTTTTGCTTGTTCCATTTTCAATCTTCTTTTTTTCTACAGCTTTATCTTTTTTGTATATGTAAGGTTATTAAGCTTAACAATGTGTGTGCCAGTATAGGGAGCACTGAAAAAAAAGCAGAGTAGAGATTTAGTAAGTCACACTCAGAAAAAAAAGAGCTTGTACTTGTGTCCTCATAAATTGAAGATTATGTAAGCTGTGTGTTTTTGCACTGGTGCAAAAGCCTGATAAATATTTTACAGACATGGTTCGAGTCCAAATTAGTAAAGTATTAAATCAAATTGCTCCACTTGAGTGTGTTTATTTCTGTCGTCATACTCTCTGCTCTCCTCTGGCCTCGTCACTTAGTTACATGTGGTTGTCATTTGTAACCGTTTAGTTTCATAACAATGAATGCTACCGATTATTTTCAGTGGTCATCCTTCACATTCTTGTTATTTCAACACCACACAAAACCTTTAAAATGTTGTTTTTTTTACGTGCAATCATTAGGATAACATCAATTGCATGTAACACCATAATGATATGCAGGAACGTTGCTAAAAACGTATTATGGGTTTTATAAAAACCTAAAATAAAAACAAGCCCCTGGTTCACAAAAAAAACTCCAGTTGAATACGTTCTACTTCGCCTGTGTCTTAAATTGTTTCCCAAATAAGATTCACTGCCCAGTCTGACCCTCTACGACAACTAACACACAGTGTGTGTTATCTTAAGCCTGCCTCAGTCGGGGTCAAGAACAGCTTGTGTTACATGAAAAAGGACTATCTGAGGCCTGTATTGGAGACCAAAGAGAGTTCAAAGCCAAGCAGAGGAAGATTGCAGATGCAGGTCAGGGGACGTAGGAGAGAAGAGGCTGCAAGAGACTTTCATGGTGAAATCGATGCTAAATCAAATTGATGCAAAGCATATTGGCATACTGTCTCTGTATGAAAACATTTCACTGTAAAACAAACACATGGAGACATTTTCAGAGCAGCTAATTCACATCTAAAGTGGAGGGTTTATGATCCTGATATGGACCATTTCAACAGCAGACAATAGCAGTGTCCCACATCCACATGAATTCTAAGCACCTGAAACGTGACACAAAGTATAATGAAAAAGGTAATTATACATAATAAAAAAACACCTTATGTTTGAGAGTTCCTTTACTGTTGATTATTCTTCTATGATGTAAAGCACAAAGTAAGAGTGGAAAAAGGTGTTTTTCTACCCCTCACCAAGTACTTTTACTGGTGGTATCAATACCACAATGTAAAAATACTCAAGTAGAAGTATTTAAAATCTTACTTAAGTAAAAGGACAAGTATTGTTAATCAAATAACTTAAAGTATCAAAAGTAAAAGTTTGCACGCAGCAGAACGGCCCCTGTCAGTGTTATTGTACATTACTACAAATAATATAAAGTGATTCATATCCAACAGCATTTTAATACAAAGCTAATCAAGGAGCTAATTTATTTCTATACTTGTGGGTAAACTACTGTAAAAATGCATCATATTTAATAACGTGTTGATATGTTTTGTGTGTATAATTTAAATCTGTAATGTAACTAGAGCAATCCAATGAATGCAGTGCAGTAAAAAGTACAATTTAAGTAGCATAAAATAGAAATACTCATTACTTCAAGCACCACTGGGCTGCACACAACTGGAAACATTTTTTAAGTTATTGGGTGGAAAGCATAATTATAAATGATCTTTTACGTTACTTTCACTCTTAAGTTGCAGTTTAATGTATGCTGATTTCTTATATACCAACAGCAGAAACGGTATACTAAAAAGTCTCATACAGTACATATTACAATATAAACTATATACAGTAGTGTTTTAGCAGGAAAAGGTGTCACTGATAACCGAGTTAATCTAGTTACAGTAAGTGTTTTAGGGCTCCGGTATTGTGCATACAGACTGACTGGGACACCTCAATGGAACTGAGCCATTGTTAATGTAATTAGCTCCACTTGGGCTTTACCTGCTGCCTTGAAAAAAAAAAAAAAGGTTAAATGTACCACTAAATACACACATTTCAAAGCACACAAAGAGGCAGACACGGAATGTGGATTCCTAACATCATTTATTAGCATAAATACTTCTGTACACACTGAATATAGTCTTCATCATCAACATAATCAATAGCGCAGAGGACGTTTAATGACACAATACCCAACAATTCCGCTTGAACAACAGATATAAAAAGTAAAGGATGACAACAGAGGGATTTCCATGGATGAAAGTTGAGGAGGAGAAATCTTTATTCCTTGGCTCAGATGAATCTTTATTCCTTGCTTGCTTGGGCTTTCAGCTTCTCTGTGTAAAACCTAAAGGACTCCTGGAAAGAAAGAAAGAAAGAAAGAAAGAAGATTTACCATCAAACACGCAGCATAAATGTTCACCTGCCACACAGCAAGGCTGTAAGGTGTGTGTGTGTTTCTCTATCTCGCCTCTCTCCAAAAGTAAGCAGCAGGGGAGCCCTCCTGGGTATGTCTAAATAGTCTCCGCTCTCCAACCAGGTTGTCTCGTTTCATCTTTAAATCCCCATTAATACACAAATAAGGGATTTGTAGCACACTCCCCAGACACACACTTTCGCTCTCTGCCTCTGTTCCCGGCTAATTAATCAGCGTTTTGATCCAGACAAAGTGTTGTTGTGGGTGTATTTTTTTTTGGAGGGGAGAAGGTGAGAGCTTTCCTGCAAATTATTCCGGCTTCTTACATTGTACGTTTGTTTATTAATGTAGTAATTAATGCTGATAAATAGGTTTGTTCGGTATGGAAGGAGTGGGGGGGGGAAGAGAGAGAGAGA